CGCTGCCTCAGCTCCGTGTCCCTGCGAACGTTTGACACAATCAGACGTTAGCATCGCCTCGGACCACCGCCAAGCCAGCTATAAAATCATCACCCTTTTACCACCACCGTCACCGCAACCTTAGCTCCACACAGCAAAGCCCTGAGTGTTGTTGGAGGTTGGTGCCGTTCCCTAACGCGTGGTGAGACCCAGCCAGCGCCACAGAAGCGCTGCCTAATGGCAAAAGCTCTCTCCGGCTCTGAACAGCGACCACCGTATCAAGCCAGTGGTTCTCAAACTGCTCCACAGAGAAGTGGGGAGTGCCGAGTACTTCCTGGAGGTCGATGGTTGCTCGGGGCCCCATGGAGAGTCGGGAGCTGTGGCTAACATGATTTGTCATTCCTGAAGTTGCCAAAAGCCACCTTGAGGAGGAGGAGGAGGAGGAGCCGCTGCTGCCAGGAGTAACACAGCCACCTTCATCAGGAGGCAGAGATGAACCAAGGACCTGCTGCCATGAGGTGCTTCAGGCAGGAAAAGGGGAGCAGGGCAAGTGATTGTGCCAAAAGACGAAGAAGATCTCGCTGTACGCCCAGGGGAAGAAGAAGGAGATGTCAATTAGGAAGCCAGAATAAGCCCTCCGGCTGCCCCGGGCCCTTCACCCACGGAGTTCGCGAGGTGGAACCTCTTCCTCCGCTGAACTGCCCAGCGTTAGGAGAGAGCAGGTCGGGTCGGAGCGGAGCACAAGACAGCAAGTGCGGAGCGGGCCGAGCAGATGGAAGGGAATATAAAAGCTCACCAGCAGACAGCAGCTTGCAGAAGGGTGGAGAGCCAAGCTAAACAAATGGCACGGGCAAACTGAGCAACCAAGGCAGACCAGGAGAGGAGGCGGCAAAAGGCACAGAACAAACAAGCAAAACAGAACAAAGAAGGGGGGGAAATGGTACAGTGTTCCACTTTGGTTGTTTTTTTTCAGGTTTTGTTGTTTGAGATTTTGTTTTACATAAGCAGCCACAGGAAGGACCGATATCCTCCAGAGAATTCCAACCTAAGCGTAAGAACAAGTTTGAGAACCACTCTGATAGAGGTCGATGTGATGGTCTAACAGCAAGCACCAACATCTCTGTTTCACCTTTCATACTTGCAGACTTTTCCTCTTCAAGGTAAAAAAAAAAAAAGTAAAAAAAAAAAAAAGCACTTGGAAGTGATTGTTCCCACAGGGGAACCAGCTGCAGGTAAAGCAGTCAGCACACCTCTTTATATTTCTTTCTGAACACTAAACCAACACATGGGCTGTTTTCCCCTTCAACATGTCACTGGAAATTCTCCAAATGAACATGCTAGTTAGTTTAAATACAGTTTGTAGATTCCATTCATCAAAACTTTCTTGACATCTCGAGTACCAGTTGTCACAAACTTGAAAGATAGGTAGCAACTACATGGTAGGGAACAAAAGAGAAGATCATTATACAGGAAGCCAGGCAACATTATATTTTCTTTTTTTACCTATCTCAAGAGAAACCCTAAACATGTTTCCTTAATACTGGAGAGAAGTGACAAGTTTGTTTTCTTTAAAACATTCCGAGCTCTAATGCAAGATGTGTTAGCACCCACGTGTAAGCTGGTCGCTTATTGAGCTGTTTAAATCGAGACAACTTTCTGTACACAAAATACCTCCTGCAGTTGCAGCGGAACAACTCTGATGCTGAGGACAAGGGTTCCTGGTGCTAAAACCCAGGACAGGTGTGGACTGTCAGCTACTGATGCCAAGAGGCTGAAAACCCCAAGGAAGTCATCTAACCGTTTGGCAACAAGTAGCCCAGCCGACATACCAGGAAACCTTGACTCTCGGGACCAAAAATCAACAGAATAAAACCTCCAGGCAAACTGTAGTTTTAGTTTTTTGATGGTGCCCAGAGTAGGGAGTTCTCAGAGCGGGACATCCTAACCATGGGCACCCTCGCGCTGGACACGGTGAAGGAAAGTGCTCCCATGCGTGGCAGGGCTTTCGCTCGGTTAAGGAGGCGGAAAGACACACGTCCAAAAGGGTTACTTACGTCATCCACCTCGAGTCTGTCAATGAAAACAAAATAGGTACAACAGGCCCCCAATTCGTTACCTGAGCTCTCCAAGAAGTGATGATATCGTACTCAGAGTCGGTCCATTTTCCTTTTTTGCTTCTGCTGTTGCAATCTGATAAAGCAACTTTTCCATTGAAAATGGTTTGGCGATACGTCGTCTCTTCATTTCCTGGGACAGAAATTGCCACGTTAGTTCTGCAGCTGATTTTAAAAATAAAGTTATCTGGAATGAATTCAATGTACCAAAAGGCACCCTTTTAAAACAACAAAAAGTAAGAACTTTCTGTAGTCCAAATTAAGCAAGGTATCTATGTTCCTCACCTCACACTGAAATAAACACATAATAAACCAGTCCTGTCAGTGGAAAACCAGGTGCGTTGCTGAATTGGGTCTTCCCATGGAAAAGACTAGGGAAGATGATTTTCTTCACGTGCTTTAGGTGAACCGATGCCGCAGAACAAAACTCCAAAACTTAAACCAAATGCATCCTACCAGAGAGGTGCAGAGAACTGCTTTCTCACACAATACCCCAGTGCCCGCTGTATCTAACTCTCATTTTCTTTCAAAGTCACTAGTAGAGAGCAAAAGAAGTATCTGCAGATGCACAGTGGTGTTAATGCCAAGAAATAAACTTGTGGGCTGTTTTCTCCTAACACGCTTTACTGGGAAAGCTAATGCAAAGAAAAGCCTGTGTATACAAAGACTGAAACCAAATTCCAGTGTCATCACGTTTCAGGTACATCCTTTTTGAAAAAAAAGAAAAAAAAAAGGAAAATCAAAGTTGAGCAGTGGGGGGAAAAAAAAGCAAAAGCAATAGGAGAGCTGTGAAGAAAATGAGAAAAATGGAGATGAGGAGGATGCCCAGGCATAGGTTAGCACGCGCTTCACCCAAGTACACCTTAAAATTCCCTCCCTATGGATTCTTTTCCCATGGAGGCCAAGAGGAGAAAGCCAGTCGCCGAAGCTCACCGGACGCGATTTGTGCTCTCGGCCACCCAGTGAGGTCCAGTCTTGTGACCTGCTTCAATACCAGGACTGTGACATTTTTCCACCTTTTACAGCACCAAAGGCAGAGCAGGTGCAAAAGAACTCAAGGCAACAACCGGCCAGAGGGGCAGATGTCAGGGAAAAGAACCAACGGGCAAAAGAGGTTTCAGTTCCCCTCTGTGGAAGCTTTTAAAGTTGCATCCTTTGGTCCTGTCAATACAAACCGAGGGATCTGGGTAACTTCAACCCTTGTGGCAATTCTCTATGTGGCAAATTCCTCAATTTACTGTGCAGTTGGGAAAAGCCTCATGTTTTTCCAGTGTCTGAAGAGGTACGTTTTGGTTTGTATCACGTCTGAGAAGGTTCAGCTGATGCTAATACTGGAGCATAGTGTGAAGGTGTCATTTCAGTTACAGGTTAAGCCTATCAGATACCTCCTCTTCACAAACAAAAATGAAGATTAAAGATAAAACTTCATGGTTGTTTTGCCATTGTGTAACTCTTGTTACATGCTCCTGCTGTTTCTTTTATCAGAGCAAACTTATCATAAAATTCATTAGTTTTAATAGCACAGATCACATGCATTAAAGTGATAACAAAGTTCTATCATGAAATGGATTAATAACTTTTGCTGGCCAAAAAGTACTCAAGAGAGGGTCTCCAGTAAGGAAAATATTTTTCTGAAGGTTCTGCTAGAGCCTGTCTGGGGCCGGAACAGCTGCACTTTTAGGAGAGGAAGGAGAAATTTTGTTCCATGTTAAATTTGCTGAGCAGGTTGTCCAAGCCTGGGTACGAACGGCCACTCCAAGCCAGACCACAAAAGCCCACACATGCAACACCCCTGGCCAGGATAAAAAGCCACAGTGCTGAAGAAAAAAACCAATCAAACAAAAAAAACCCAAAAGAAAAAAGCCCCAAGGTAGGCTCCAGCTCAACTCACTGGAACTGGGCATTTAGGTGTATTTCTGCACCCACGTGCAGTTCTCTGTTCCATACAGTACCAAAAAAGTAAGGACTTTCAAAAAGACTTTTTGTTTGCTGCCTGAGCACTTCTTTTAATGGTACGTTCTTCAACATTACGAGAGACTGAGAACACTCGGATGGTAATTATCGCCGCCCTGCTGCTCGTGACCTGGCCTTACTGTCGTCTGTCTCTCGGTCATTCATTTTGCAGGCTGAGTAGTCCTCTTATATTTAACACAGAGACTTTTAATTGCTTTTTCTAGTTCCTTCACATTCCTTCTGCAGTGAGGGATTCAGGAGTGCTCAAGTGTGGAAGCCGCAGCCACAGTGAGAGCCTACCCAGGGCCACAGCGACGCTTCTGCTTCCTTCTCTATTCCCTCCTTACAATTCCTAACGTTCAAGGTGGGTTTTTTAAGCTCTCCAGAGCACTCCGCTGGCAGCTCCACAGGAATCCAAAGATCTCTTTTCTCAGTAGCAAGAGCTCATGCAGAGCCAGTCACCATGTCTGTTAAAGGAGGATTATTTTTTACTCCCGAGTCATTTAAAATTTACCAAGCCCTAGTCTCCCTCGGATCACTCAGTATCATGAAATCTTTCTGTAACACCTCCAAGCTTTCATTTTTGCTGCCGTTAGCACTAATATCTTCAGCACAAAGGATTGGATTTGCTATTCACTTCCCATTCTAGGTTATTTACAGATACATTGAACTGTACTGGTCTAAGTACGAACTCCTGGAGAGCGCAGAAAGACAACTCCCTCCACGATAAAAACTGACCACACGTTCCCATCCTCTGCTTCTCTTTAAACTTGTTTGGTTTTCAGTGCGTGAACTTCCCCTCTCAAGCCAGGGCAGGTTAATTTTTTTTTAAGCCTTTTCTGAGCAACCTCGACAAAAGTCTTCCAGAAAGGCTCTTGTCAACCAGATCTCTTTTCCCCGTACATCCTTCCAAAAGTTGCAAGGCCTGGGGGCCACAACCTCGCTGCAAAAGCCACGTTGATTGCCCTGGTGTCATTCTTTTCTACATCTTTTTTTTTTCTTTTGGCCTTTGGGAACTTGTTCTTCAAAATCTCTTTCTGGTCTGCCTTTGTGTGGATTTACATGCATCTTGCTAGAGTGGTTGTTTTATTTGCATTTTCATCTTCGGACACAAGGGGTTTTTCTGGTCTCATTTCAAACAGACTCCTTTCTCCCAGTGTTTAGCCATGCCACGTTTTCGGGGGGGTTGCCTTTTTGAATATTTTTTTTTCCCTAGGCAATGTGCATGTGTTTTGAGTCTCTAATACAGCATCTTTAAACAATTTCTATGCCGCATGCAAACACTTAACCCTTCTTTCTGCATTCTCAATTTAACAAGCTTCCTTGGTTTTATGCGAGGCTGCCTTTTGAAATGAAACACCGCAGCAGTGGACTTTTTTGCTTTTTACTGCTCTTTCAAGGTTCTTAATCTCTGCTCACCATCACAGCGCGGCTCTTTCATCATGATATTCGGAACTGGGCTCCACCAGCGCCAAGAGGAGTTTCTTCTCATGCAGATATTCAGACTGGCTGCTCACTGAGGTCGTTTCGGTTCTGCCACCAGTGGCCACAGCACAACCACTGTCCTAGTGAGGGGGAGAACGCCGGCATTTCTGATCATCATCGTCACATCTCCTGTCCTCGTGGCTTCTCTCACCTCCTTTGGTGTGACACAGGTTGTGTCTGCTCGGCACCCCCGGCAGCGAAGCGGGAGGAGCGGCCGTGCGGAGCGACACGGCCGACACTGAGGACACAAACGCGCAAGACGTGAGTAAAGCCGACGGCTTCACTTCGGAGCTGCCCAGCCTGGTCCTGTGGCCATGCAGCCGCCCGGGTTTGGAGGGCATCGGGCACTTCTGGTTGTGCCTCTGCCCAGCTGCCTTCACCTCAAAGCTGCTCAGGCTGAGAGAGCAACAGGAACCGCAGAGCGGTAATGGTGGCATTTTAAAGGCACATTCCTTACCCAAACTAAAACTTGAGGGGTGGGAGGGAGATGTATTTAAAGCCCCTGTCAACATCTTGGTTGGACAGTCGAGATTCTGTCACTGGTGACAGTTAAACCCAGTTTATGTAACCATTTATGTAACCTCTTCTGTGTGCAGCAGCGCTGCTCCAACTGGATGACCAACTCCATCCTTACTATATACTTCCTCCTCTCGTATTACGGCACCGACTTTCCACCACGGTTCTGGTAGGCCCTGTACCACCAAAGCCCTCCTTTAAAACCAGTCACTCCTCCTCCTTTCCACACCTGGAGGGCAGAGTGCCTTCATTTAGTCCAATATTCTATTCTCCTCTTTGCTAAACAAGTTTTACTGACTTTGCCCAGTGCCTCACTGTGACCCCTTTGCCATTCCAAACACAAACTCTTCCACCGCACCTGTAAACCTTCTCCTCATCCTCAGTTTAAAAAATTTCGAGGGCTCTTAAGGAGTAGTTGAAAAGCCAGCAACCTGATCCCACGTATGGTTTAGGTGAAACCTGTCTGTCCCTTTACACAGGCTTTGTACAAACTCTTTTATTCCAACTCCTTATAAACTGAAACCAACGCAATTTCAAATGTAGAATTTCATTTTTTCCATATATTAAAGGAGACTGAGCAGTCATTCGATACAGAAATGAAACAACATCGTTTAGTAATATAAAGAGTCACTATAAAAAAAAATAAATCAGGTCACAGTATATCACAGAATGGAAGCAAAGTTAAGGTATCAAACAGCTGAAAACTGTCAATATTGCTGTCGAGAGCGGACAGACAGAAGTACAGTTTGTCAGACTTCCTTAACAGTCCGAAAGGGGAATCTTGCTCGTTACACAGAACGTCTCACAACCTCTGAAAAGCACAATCCCAGCCAGCCTTGGAAAATGGCAAAGTGCCTTGTCAAAGTGAAGGAATCAAGGAAGGATTTCCAAAATTTAAGAGAGTTAAGAACATGGGATAGTTTGAGGAAAGAAGAAAAGAGGGGAGGGGAAAAAAAAAAAAAAGGAAGAGAAAAAATAAAGGAAAGAACAGTGCGGCAGGTGTTTACAGAGTTATTTCGACATAAGCACATATCTGTGGTTCTTGTAAAGTTTGTGAGAGCTGTGACTTCACTTTCCAAGGCAGGTTATCACAGATTAGGATCTGCTGCATTTTCAGTCAGCTTTTATTTACCACGTGCAAAAGTTCTTAAAAATTAATCAAAAGAAACTGTTCTTCAGGTTTTGAGGCACCAAGAAGAGCTTTTTAATTGCTGCATAGTGATTTCTGTCTTGTACAAGAGTGGCATTTTCACAATATCAAACAAGTGTTCAATAGAGCAATAAATACAGCACATGGAGTTAATATAACGGCGTACCTTCCGACAGAAGAGGTTAGCTCAGAATTCCCATTCCATACCTACCCACATACACAATTCCCACCGTCCCCCAAAATAAATCTGTAATAAAATAACCTTTTATTTCAAACTAAGTTAATATACAGTTAGTATAACCAGGCTGGAAGAAGTTCATTAACCCTAAAGAACCAAAACGTAACTGTGGATATATTACATTTAATTACTTACTAATCGCTTGGTCTGAAGCTGTAAATGATAATTTACTAGTGGCTTAGCTATAAAACACTACCAAAATAGCATCTGTTACCCACAGTGTGTTTGAGAAGGTTGGGAACACAATTAGTGACACGTATTCTTTGTCCAAGAACACAGAAATGTGGCTGAAACCATGATGGCTGGACAATTCACCTGTTCATTTCCACCTCAGTTAGTTGTGTGAAAAGAGAACGGGCAGTTGTTTTTATTTACATTTTCGTATGACACGAGCTGGTCAGCAAACCTAAGGATTTTCAAGTTGATTAAAATTGAAATTGCCCTGATCAACAGCTTTTCCTGAATGAGGGGGCAGAGAAAGACGAGCACTACAGCTGGGAGTATTAACTGACTCTGCCTATTGTAGGAGCTAACGAGCACAGTTATCCAGATACTTGCACCTGAGATTCTAATGGTTCTAAAAAACACCACCTAAAAAAAAAATCAGTAAGCATAATACAATATATTATCATTAGCTCTGACGGGATTTTTGAAGCGCTTCCTCGCCAACTGGTCTGCAGGCATAACAATCTTCCACATTTTTCAAGTATACAGCAGTTTTGAGCTGTTGATTATTAACTCAGTTGCTTTTCTGAAAACACTGGATCGCCTTTGCAGAACATTCTCCTCTTTTTTAAAAAATTAGTTTTATTTTATTTATTTCTCATTTAAGAGTCCACAAAAATAGACGTAGTTGTTACTAGTCTCACAACGCTATCAATCCTGGAATGTCTGCTTTGCTGTCGTTTTAGATGGCAGGGCCACGAATCCATTTTAACTCCTTTTTCTCAACTTACCTTGGCTGTTTTAAACCCCATACTTGTCCACTGGGTGGTAGCAAAGTGCACCGTTTCCGAAACACTATAGCCACAACACACTTTAGACACAAAGGATCCAGGAAAACAGACAACAAACTGCCCGCTCTGCTGTACAGTACGGTGCACCCTGATCCCCTCCTTGCACAAGATTTCTGGGGAGATCTGGAAAGACAGAGAAGCAAAACAATCAAAAGAACAATAAAAAGAAAAAATCAGAACTTTCTGTTAGATCCCCTTCTGCGCCGGGCACCGCTTCTGCTCATTCTTCTCTTCCCACCTGCACATGCTGAAGCCTCCGGTTTGGAGTGACAATTACAGAAGTTTAAACTCTCCCTTGCCAAGCAATCTCAAGCACAAAACCTCGAAATAATATCATCTCCTACTACAGAAAGTAACACAGGCCATTCGCTTTTCTGTCCAGATCTCTCCAGGCTTGGCGCTGAATCCACTTTCCTGCGGCGCTTCTGCTAGGGATGTTAACACTGAGGTTGTTTTTTTTTTGTTGTGGGCTTCCAAATTTAGAATTAAATGCACTAAATGGAAACTGTTATTCACAAACCAAACAACGGAACCAAAAATACTTTGAAATCCTAAGCTTTCTCGTATTATCCATGATGAAATGTCAATCACGGAAGACGAAACGATTACAAAACACATCACAGACGGTATTAAAAATGGACATTTGTTCCGCTGTGGCGCTTATTTTTATTTCAGCATTTTACCAGCCTCATTCGAAAAAATGCCACGTGGGCAAATGCTGCAAGCAGGAAGGCACTAGATTTTAGGAACAGCCTCTGTGTCACTGTAGTGCAAGATAAAAGCCCCAAACCAGCCTCCTGGTTCTCCCGGGGTTGTCGCGTGGGAACATCTCTCCCAGCGTTAACTTACCATGACGTTACTTTCAAGCATTTCCAGCCCTGGAGTGCCATTGGCTTGCAGCAGGGTATGTACCACATCATCAAGTTTGTTCTCCTCCGCAGCAGGAAACTGGTGTTTTGTCAGAGGGCAAAAAAAAAGAAAAGAAAGATTTACTGGGGAGTAAATAATGGGCCGCGGCTACACAGTAACAGGCAATTCAGCCCAGGGCATTGATTAAACGAAAGGAATTAAACACCAGCTTTCCCCCCCAGTTCTTTTTAGGTAAAACGCTGAGGATTCATGGAAAGCTGTTTGTTTAGACTCAGTCTGACAGTGTTCACCAGATGCCAAAGACTCAAAATCCCCCACCCAGAAAGGTGACAATTCAGTGCTCTGTAGAATCAGAGGGGAGAAATCAGCAACGGAACGATGTTCGCTCTAACAGCACCAAAACGGCAGAAGTTTGCATCTTGTGAGCGTCGATGCACCTTCTGTTATCTTTATCATAAATGGTTCTAGTTATTACCTGTGCATCAACAAAAGGATCTTTTTATTTAATAACCTTTTCTGTTTGCTACAATCAAAAAGCCACAGATCACCTTTACTCTCAGTACACAAAGTAGACCCACAGAATCACAGAATGGTTTGGGCTGGAAGGGACCTTGAAAGGCCATCTGGTCCCACTCCCCTGCAGTGAGCAGGGACACCTTTAACTGATCAGGCTGCTCAGTCCTTCTTGCCACGCTTACCAAACCAACCCCACGTCCCTCCTCTCCCTTGCCACAAAAGAAACACCTGACAAAGAGCAGGCAAAGCAGCAAGAGAGTGCACAGGACTGCCTGACTACTGCCGGGATCGAGGGGAAGGGAGATAATTTGCAACTGTGGCATATGCTGCAATCTCACCCATTTGCAATTTCAGATCGACCTATAAAATTGCCTGTACAGGCTTCTGGGTGTCTCAGGCAGAATAAGATTTTCTACTCTCTTTTGATGGGCACCGAGGATCCCTCCAGAATCAAAAAGTTAGGTCACCGACCTCTGCCCTGCACAGAAATTGATTTCTCCAATTTATCCTTCAGGAGGTAAAACCTCAGAGATTAGGGAGCGACCTGAGAAATCTGCAGGTAAATGATTTTAGTACCACAGGGATCTGTCCTTGGAAGCGAAGCTCTCTGCACGCTGGGTGGATTTCACAAGAAGGAGGAGAGCTTTGCCCGGCGGCCTGCTTTGCTATCACTGAAGCAGCTGCTGAAAGCAATACTGTCAGAGCTACTCCAGATATTACGCCAGGCTTAAAGGTATTAAATTCATCTTTTCCTCAATAAAGTTGGGTACTTTATTGCAATATTAAAAGCCGTAATGAGTTAATAATGAAAACTAGCCCAACACATCAGCCTGGCAGCCTCGCTGAAGAACAGCTTTTACAGACAAAGGAGTTTCGCTTCTTCCTTATTATGAATTATTCCTCCTTATTATCCAGGTTTCATCAAAGTAACCACCACAAATACACCTGAAGCTCTGTACTTACACGTATAAGTAAGGCCATAAAGAAAAGGTAAACGGCTTCTTCGGGTTTATTCTTCTTGACTTGGAAAAACACAGGAGTGGCCTTTCCTAAAACTCTGGCTGGCTGCGTTCAAGCCTGCTCAATCCCCAGAGGCACATGTTTTGACACATACAGTGGCCTCAGAACTTCATTAGGGGACCCCTGACCTCCTTCTGCTTAGAACTTACGGTCACTTAAGACTAGATGAATGTCACAGCGAAAACAGACTCGCCACCCAAGGTTGAGGACCACGTAGCTTGCTCAGCAATTTGCCCCAACAGTAAATTATTTGAAAAGATCATGGATTCCTGATTTATGGAATAAGGAGAAGAGCCATGAAACGCCCATGACAAAGTGACAAACTCTCAGGTCTGCAGCGTAACACAGTCTTTACCCCTTTATATGATCACATACGGAACATTTCTCCAACTTAAAATATTTAGAGAGAATAGCTGTTGCTTTAACTGTTCCCTCAAGATTTCACATCTCTTTTTCTGCAGACACTGCCACTGCCACCACGGGGACTTCTGGGTGCCAAGGGGACCCTGCAGGCTGTCACACCGAACAAAGAGCCGAAGGCTCCTGTAGTTCAGAGTTCCAGAGGGGAACTGCTGGAGCTGCTGAAAGGGAACCAGCTTCTCACCATCACAAGGGGGCACTATTTAAATAACTTTTCCTCTCCATTTATTGGATTTTCTCTGATGGAGAAATGCAGCCTACCTTGACTAGCTGTCATTTGGCTTCCGTACCATGAAAACCTTCCACAGACTAAACCGCTTCAAGCAGAAACAGTTTACTGCTAAATATTTTGGAATGAAGCGTGGAAGAGAAACTTTTCTTCCAGGAGAGGGTGTTTCATCACTTAAGTTTATACTACATTTTCCCATTAGGACTCTTAACTGCACACGCTGGACCTTCTCGGTGAGATTCATTCACGCAAAAGGGACTTCCCGAGCTGCTGCTCACACCAGCCTGCACAGAGTCACCGCGGTGAACGGGAAGAAAACGAACCGCAGGAAGACCTACCAAATGCAATCAGCACCAGTGTGTAAGTAGTCAATGTATGGAAGGTGATTTTGGTCTCGAGACCAGCATGAGGTAGAAAAGACCATGCCAATATTTAGCCAAGGAATTGTCACTCCTGAAAGAAAGAGATTGAAGATGAGTTTTGAGTAACTGCGCTTGCTAATTAAAAGAGAGTTTGAGAGAGCATTTCAGTTTCAAAACTTGCTCTACCTACGAGCTGACCCTTAAGTCTTCCCACCAGAGCAAATAATTCATGGAGAATAACAAATTTGACAAAACAAAGTACCTACCAGCCAATTACGGCACCCTTGAATGTATCTGTTTTCTAATAACTGCCAAAAAAATTTATTCTCTGGGAGAATTTACAAATATCCGTAATTCGACCTCGGTGACATTGATCAGAGGAGGTCGCTTCACGTTGTCAAGTGCGCATGTACTTGTAATAGGTATCCTGTTTCCCAGCTGGTTTGTTCAGGCTCAACATCGACACAGGAGACCGCATTATGCTTCCAAGTTACATTTCTATGGATAAATTGCAACGGCACGGATGCAGCTGGAGCGCTCGTGACAAAACAACTGCGTGTCCACCTGCTTGGTCGGCGACCAAGAGGGGCCAGGAAGAGGGAGAAGACTTTGGTGACCACACTACCACATTTAGGGGATGCTGACGCCCGCTAGAAGACAGAGACTTGCTTACCAGGCACAGCACCAAGATGTCGCAGGATGGATCCTGTATTATTAGGAAGGACTGTGAGGTTCCACCCATGCCTGTTGGGAGGGGTGACACAGAGGTGGACACGGGTCAGTGCACATTCCTGGTGCCGACGTCCCCACCTCCTCTCAGCCCAACGGGGCAGCTGGCCTGATGGACAAAGCCAGGGAGGGATTTTTACCTTGAAAAGGGTTCAGATTTTCCCACGGGAAAGCCACTCCCGTGGGTGTTGGTATCTACTTTTCCACAATGCACCGCCACGTGGCAATCTTTCTGTTCCACTATCCGCCAATATTCTTGCTGTGGTGAGAGAAAGTGGTAACGCATTTTTAATTCGCTGAATAAGGTTATCTCTCAGTGAAATGCAAACCCCAGAAATTTACAGAGCTATCACAACCTTAACGTAATTCAACATAAAACACTGCTCAAGGATGAGGGTAAATACTTAAAATTAACAATGAATTGGGAAGACAGAATTTAGATCCTCTTGGCGCCTTGTGCTTCAGCAGAAGACAGATTAACACATCTTCCCCTCCCTCAGTCCATCAACACCTTTATTAAAAACGTCAGAAATTTTAAAAAGAAGAATCAATGCCACGTCTAATCAATACCATCTCTAGCTAACCATTCATTTTTTCCAAACTAGACAGCCTTAAACTGCTTATGGTAATACTTGAACATCAACTGGACTGAATCCCCACACTCAATCCCTTGAAATAAAAACTTTTTCCACCTCTTGTGCTGGCCTCACCTCTACTTCAGCCACTGTAGGCTCCTTCGTGAAGCACATGTTCATAATATTTCTTGCTGTTCGGTAGAAGGTTGTTAAAGAAACAGACCTACCCTGTGGAAAAAGAAAATAAAATTAGAAGTGAAAATAAAAAAAACCCACAGAGAAACGTGCCTCCATTCCCCTTGGCTTCGCGCTCTGCCTTACGTGTTCAATCCCAGATCACAACAGAGGGCAAGAGGACTATGTCACCAGAACGTGTGGACCTAAAGCTCATTTCTTATCTGAGGGAAAATACCTCAAGAGACAGAAACTGAGTCACATCAAATCACCAAACCAGCCATCTAAAAAGGCCAACTGGCCGTTCCTGGAAGGCCACGCACACTGCTTTGTCCAGCGCCACGCTCCTGTTTGATAAATACCGAAGATGGGCAGAGCCCGACAGGCTGCAAAGGGCCCAGCAGGCAGCAACTCTCCCTGCTTCCCACAATCCAATCTGAATCGCGATTCCAGGACCACGTGGCTACAATCTTTACACAGAGAAACAGGTGAAGACTTAAGGAATTCGGTGAAGCATTCAGCATTAAACTAGTACTTAGTGTGATGGGAAGGGGTCACATGAAGTGCAGTTTACCAAGATTACTGCAATTACCTGCTTACAAAAACTAGTTCTGCTCCATTCAGTAAGAGCAGTTCAAATGCAAGGAACCAGGACCTGTTATTACAAAGCAGAGAAAAGTAAAACACCGTAGAATTGCCAACGGAGCACACCCTTTCTTGGCCCTGCTGCAGGAGACGAGGATTTTTACTCCATCTTTCTGCTTGAGCTAGACCTGTGCTTCTGGGTACCTGCCTTCCCACACACCTCAACCACCAGGTGCTCTGGGAAGCATCCTCTGAAGGCTTTGAAGGAAAGAGCAGGAGAAGCTGCTTGCTCCTTTCAGCCTGGACATACCGGTACAGGGACACCCCTCTCGCCTTCTCCACTCCAAGACAGAAGAATCACCCTGGGAAACCAAGAGCCATGACAGCTGGCAGGCACCACGCTAAGCTGCCGCGGCCACGCTGGTTTGCAGGCAGAGACCAGCATCGCTCTGCTAATGGGAGGTCAAAAATATCTTCGCCCCCTCATCAGATTTACCGCTTGTTCCTCGTACCTCCCACCGCATCCACTGGTTGCCCGTCTGAGTGACCACAAACTTAAAAACTCGGTGTAAACCAAGGTTTTATTACTCGGACTACTACCTTCCTAATTTTTCAATTATGAAACGGATCTGCCAAGCCACCTCAGTCTTTTCTTGTATTAAATTTACTTAAGAACTGTGCCCAAGAGTCAACTACAAAGAACTACACAAGCAGCTTTCCCCCCAGAGGCCAAGTCTACCACTTTGCCATGCTCGTACAGTTGTAACGTCGTCACTTTTTTAATTGAATACAACATAATTAGCTGAAACAAAAAAAAAAGTTTGTGAAATGCCTAGAGCCCGGGGCCCTCTGATTCCCATAAAGTTCAGAGTTGGATGCTCTGCAATAACAATAAGCAATTTCCTTCATCTTTTAATGCCCTCGTGAATCATTTATTGAGGCAGCCTTTTACAACCAAACCTCTCATAAAACGCGAGGCCCGCACCCGCAGCCGTCACGCTCCAGCACAGGCTTCGCCCCTCGCAAACCAACACATGCTCTGCAGCAGTTTCCTCCTTTCAGTTACTTGCCTTTTCCTCTCGCCTTACACGGAAAAATAAGAATAAGGGCTCATCTTCCAAGATTAACTGTGTCTTTCCATTTTTGAGATATGCAGCAAGCAAGAAAAAAATGAAGTGGGAGAAGTGAACAGTCTAGCCCCGCAAATCACATATATCTGTTTCTTCCTCTATCAAGGATTTGGTATTTTTTTTAGTCTTCTCTAAGTTTTAACACAAATTAAATGGCTGAGGGTTTTTTGTTGTCTGGTTTTGTTGTTTGAGTGCTTTTTTTAATCTCAGGGATCTCATAAAACTTTCTATTGCTGACCCAGAAAATAATTTAAACTGCGTTTTAGCCAGAACACAAAATGAATTGCTGAAGAGCAAAATACGCTTTTCAACACCCTCAAAAATATCTCAACAGTTCAGCAACTGTCCTGGGAGCTTCAAGCTACCAGGCAGAGTCTCCGCTGCTGCGGCAATAGGACAGAGGACGGTTTAAGGAATAAAATTTCCTATTTCCTCTCCTGATTCTTCTCCATGGCCGCGAGAGACAACCCAGAGCATCACCACCAAGGCTGGAGGAAGGCCCAGAGAAGGACACCATGTTAAAGATGTTAAAGCAACCACAAATATGAGCAGAAAATGAGAGATTTCATGATAGTCAGAGGTGGGAATGAGGGGGTCCTGTCAAGCAGAGTCCCAAATCACCAAATTCCCATCTGAAGAGAGCTCAGCGTGGGATTTCTGGGGCAGTTTGACGTGAGGGCAGGAAAAACTCATGTTGGTGACTTCTTCTGCACGTCCCTTTAACAGGTCTGTAATAAGTCCTCACTTTGTTCTGTATAGAAAAAGACGCTGTTTTCAGTCAGCTCCAGTACAGCTTTCTAAAATATTTCCAGAGCTCAAACTGGGGAGAGGAGAGTGAAAACCTTGCAGCAGTTCACTTCACGTACTTACAAACGACGACATTTTTTAGCCAGGTAGGAAAGCCACACGTTCAGGAGCAAAGCAAGCGAGTGCGGCAGCCTGCGGCACGCGCTAAGAGCACAGCCCGGGAAAGAGCAACACTGAAAACAATTGGGGAGCCCTGGCAGAAAGTCAGCAGACAGCAAAGGCGATTTACTTGAACCTTGACATGTGATACGGTGGTAACTGCTCCTGGAAGGCTGGACGGCTCTTTCGAAAACACGTTCCAGCTCGAGCACGTGCTGACTGCAGAAAATGCTGTGCGAAATCCTAAACTCCTGGCTTCTTCATGGTCTGAAGCAGAGACTTTATGGCCTCAACTGGACTACAGCCATAGGATTACGATGTTCTCCTCCGGCCTTCAACGTACTGACCTGGGCATTTATCAGGCAGATAGGGTTTGGTTCTTTTTTTCTCTTCTGTGTTTTTTATTTTTAATAAGAATTAGTGATATGCTTTGGAAAGGAATCATCACCACCCGTGGAAACTCCAACAGGGCGCATCTCAGATTTTTTCAAGAAACCTGTTAAAGAACGCTCCTCCCTCCACAGACACAGAAAACTGCTTCAGATAATGCCATGAAGCATCCTCTGTTGACATCTGCAAGCCAGCATCACCTCACCTCAGTCTCACTATGACGTCTCGTGATGAAAAATAGTCATTTTAGAAGTCCTATGGGTTACTCTGGCACATAAAGATTGTCGCGTGATTTCTTATTTCTGTGCCCCGAGGCTTGTTCCAAGTGACACCCAGCTCTCGCACACCAGTCCTTCACAGAATGACACCGGATCACAGAATTGTTGAGGCCTGAAAACACCTCTGAGATCATCACGTCCAGCTTACGACCCAACACCACTAGACCAGGGCACTCAGTGCCACATCCAGCCTCTCCTTAAACCCCCCCCA